CTGCCCTCCCCCGACACCCCCATCCCCATCCCCTTCTGCCCCTCTCCTGACACCCCATCCTATTCCCCTGCCCTCCCCCGACACCCCCATCCCCATCCCCTTCTGCCCCTCTCCTGACACCCCATCCTATTCCCCTGCCCTCCCCCGACACCCCCATCCCATTCACCCCTGCACCCACCCTGCCAATCCCCCAACACTGACTTCCCACCCCACCCTCCCACCATACGTCGATCCCATCCCCCTGTATTCACCTGCCCTCCCCCAACACGCAGTCCCAGCCCCCCTGCCCTCCCCTGCCGCCACCACCCCATCCCATCCCACCCTTTCCCCAATGTCCCCATCCCATCCCACCTGCAACCACTCTGCCCTCCCCCGCTGCCCCCATCCCACCTCTCTGCACTCAGCACCCTGCACCCAACCTGCCTTTCCTACTCCTGACACCCCCATTGCAGCCCATTCCCCCGCACGGGGGGGGGGCGGCTGGGTGCACAGACCCCACCTTACCTTGCAGCTGGGTGATTCTATCTATTTCACTTGCAAATAGCCCCCCTCCCCGCCCCCCGCCCGCCTGCCTCTGTCTGCAGGAGAAAGGAATCTAATGATGCTGAAAATTGATTCAGAAATGCCCTGACACGGCCGTACATCTCCCGGCTCCGCGCCTGCCACTTTTATGGCCACTGGCTGTAAAAGTCACCGGCTCCCCGCGCCCACAGGGAAATTTATATATTTTTACTAACTAAGAGGAGGCTTGGAAAACTGCCCCCACCCCCCACTTCCCCTATTCCCCCAGCCCCCCACCCTGCTCCCCTCCATCCTGCTCCCCTCCATCCCCCCACTGCTCCCCTCCATCCTCCTCCCCGTCCCCCCCACATCCTCCTCCCCAGCCCCAACTCTGCTCCCCTTCCCCCACTCTGCTCCCCTGCATCCTTCCCCCCCATCTCCCCATTCTGCTCCCCTTCATCCTCTTCTCCATCCTCCTCCTAATGGGCAGGGCGAAGGAACAGCCCCCTGCTCTGCTGACAGGCCCCAGTGCGGCCAATCCCCCCCTCACCTGGCCATCTCATAGAAGACGCTGCCCAGCTCGGGCAGCAGCAGACTGGTCTCTTCCCCTCCGCTCCGCACAGCCGCCATCAGCACGGCCTTCTCGTCCTCCGCCTCCTGCAGCGAGAGTGGGGGTGAGAGCGCAGGGGGCCAGAGTCCAGCCCCCACCCCCCAGCACTGGGGTGCCCCCTGCGCACAGGCATATTGATTGTGCCCACCCCAAGCAACTGGGCTCCCCAGAAGAACAGCCCCGCTATGTGTCATAGGCCCTATACTGCTGAGGATGGATGAGGATTCTCCTTTACCTCTAGTGGTAGTGGGCTGAGTCCTGGCAGCCCGGGGGTGTGAGTTTTATCCCCATTGCTGCACGGTCCCCAGCTGTACTGCTAGGGTGTGGGCTACCCGATGGGTCTCTGCTAGCTTCCTGCCCCCTGGCTGCGCGGGGGAATCATGGAGCCATGAATGCGCCGGGGGGTGGGTGGGTGGCCACTGGGTCAGCAGCCTGCTCCCCCTTGCAGCAGGGGGTGCTGGGATTGATACTCGGACCTGCTGGGCTGCCCCTGAGGGATCTCTGAACCGAGCTGTGTCCTGTCCTGAGCGGGGCCAGCGTGTTGTGATGTCGCTGCCAGCCGGCCCCCAGCCCGCGATCCCTCCTGCTACGTTTCGTGGGGCTGCCATGGGCCACGCGGGCCACCCCCCTCACACTGAGATCCCGCAATAGACAGCATGGAAATGGACCGTGTGCAGGGATGTTCTGGTCCCAGCAGCCGGGCAACCTCCCTAGGCCCAGCATAGCTCCCCTTCAGGAATCCCAGGGAACCCCAAACGCCTGGTGATCAGCTGACTGCCACATCCAGATCTCACCAGCCCAGAAGCCCCAGGGGGTTGGGAGCTTTGGCTTTGGCCTGCGGGGGGAGCTACTGTGGTGTAACCAGATCAACCCCCCAAACACTGTTACTTTCCTAGTGTAGATGGGCCCCAGCCCTGAAGGGCAAAGATCAGCCCCTCCTAGGGCTAGCATTTGAGTTGGCCCAGATGGTGCAGAGTCCCCCATCCTGCTGCTCTCGCTGCCCCCCTGAGGATGGAGGTGGGGGGGCTCTCCCAGCATTGATGCCATGAGGCTGGCAGGGAGAAGTCCCCATCCTCCCAGCTGACCCCCCTCACTTTCCCCAGTGGGAGGCACTGACACCCCTCCACTTTCCCCAGCAGGAGGTGCTGGAGAGATTCCCCAGCACCCCCCTTTTCTCCCAGGTCGTTAATTTACTGCATGTTTTATCGTGCCAATTAACAGAGGTTTGTAAAGTTTTACAGGGGCGGTCTAAAAAACCCCTCCCCCCACTCACAGCTGGAGGGGCGGGGGAGGAAAAAGCAGCCCCATGAACGAACAGCAACTGCAGTGGGACACGGAGAGATTTCAAATGTGGGCCTGATCCCCAGCCTGGCACAGACGCCCCTTCGCCCCTGTCCTGGGGGGGGGAGGGGGCAGCCATCCCCGGTCCTGCAGCTCCAGGGACCTTCCAGCTACTCCTATCAGGGATGCGGTCGAGGGGAATGCAGGAGGGTTTGAGGGGCTGGCAGATAACCCCTCCTCCTGGGTGAAGCAGGCTCAGATGCACCCTCAAAGCTGGGCTTTCTGTTGCCCAGGAGGGTGGGGGGCCCAGCCCCTCCTGCCAACCAAAACCCCACCCCATCTGCCTCTGGTGGAGTGTGGAATAGTGGGTAGAGGAAGCAGCTAGCAGCCAGGACGCCAGGGTTCTATTTCCACCCTTGCCCCTGCTCGCTGTGTGACCGAGGGTAAGTCCCTGTGCCTCAGTTTCCCCCTCCACGCTGCACGTGATTGGGGGTCCTCGCCCCCCGGGGACTCACTGAGTCGGAGCTGTTGTCCTCGGTGGGCTGCTTGATCTGGGTGGTGATGGGGGCGGGCTGGCTGATCACCACCTTGTGCATGGGCTCCCGCAGGCACGGCGGGGTCTTGGTGCCTGCCCGGTTGTCGCACAGGCTGTAGGGGCTGAGCTGGGTGTGGATCCTCATGTCCTCGGGGGACTCGTCCTCCGAGTCCGAGAGTGGGGAGTCCAGGGAGCCTGGGGGGAGGGGAGGCCACAGGGTCACTTGGGCAGCCGGTGCCCCCCGCTGAGCAGGGCAGGGCAAAGGAGGGGAACCCTGCTGGGGGGAGGAGGTTGGGGAGAGCCAGCACAGGGGGTGTGGGAGTGGGGGGGAGTTCTTGGGGGAGGAGCCGAGGGACGGCTGGCACTGGCACAGTGTTGGTAATTTCGGGGGGCAGCACTACTCTTCTGGGTGGGGGGGAGCAGCACAGGGCGATGTCAGGGAGGGAGAGAGGGGGCGAGTGGAGAGTGCACATAGCAGTGAGAGCGGGGAGGGGGGCTCCCGGGGCAGAGAGGAGGGAGTTGGGGGCAGAGCAGGGGGGAGATGAACAGGGGTTACAGTGAGGGGGTAACCATCAGGGGTGCCGGGGCATGAGGTGAGGCAGTGAAGGGGGGCAGAGGTAACGGGGTGGGGGGACAGGGGTAACAGGGGTGGGAGGATGGGGGTGGGGGGGTAACAGGGGTGGGCTGACAGGGGTTGGGGGACGGCGGTAACAGGGGTCGGGGTGTTACACACTCAGCGCTGTGGCCGCTGCCTCCTCCTCCTCGGCCGCCGTCACCTCGCTCCACTTCTCGTCGGCCACCTTCTCCAGCCGCTCCTCCAGCTTGCGGGCGTACTCCAGCAGCTCCTGGGGAGGGGAAGCCACCGGGGTCAATATTGGCCCCGCCTGTGCCACCAGGCCATGGGGAGATTGGGTGGGGACCCGGGGGGGAGGGGGGAGGCAGGGTCTTTGCCTGCCCCACCCACTGTCCAGGCTGCAGGGCCCCTGCCTGACCCCAGGGCACCTCCCAGCCCCTATGCAGGGAAGGCCATGATGGGGGCAGGGAATGTGACTCATGTCACCCCCTCCTGGCGGTTCCTTGGCCCCCGCTGGAGCCTGGGCCGAGAGCTGATATCCGCCGAGAGCTGATATCCGGGGTTCAGCCCCCTTTGACTCTGACCCCGGCTGGCACCAACCTGTTTCTCCTCCTGGAGCTGCTCCTTCTCCTTCTCAGCCACCTTCAGGGCCGCGCGCAGCTCCTTGAGCTCCCGCTTGCTCTCCGACAGCTGCACCTGGGCGGGGGGGGGAAGGGGGCACAGGACCGTGAGAACTGCCCCAGGGCAGGGAGTGTGGCAAGGGCTGGCCTTGCACCAGCCTTGGGAGGGAACCTCCATACCCGAGGAACCTGATCCCCCAGAACCCATGAGCACCCCAATCCCTCTTCCTATGGGGCAAGGCATCCCCTAGCACCAGTGTGGTTTTCGGGGTAGGGCTTCCCCATCCCAGCTCTGATTCCTCCCCCTTAGGGCAGGGTCCTCCCACCCCGCATGGCAGGGCCTCCCCATCACAGCTCTGATCCCACCCCTTGTAGGGCAGAGACTGGGGTTCCCCTCTGTCCCAGGGGCAGTGCTCACCCCCCTACTGGCCTTACCAGGCTGGAGTCCCTCTCGTGGGACAGTTCAGATTTCAGCGCCTGCTTCTGGGCTCGCTCCTCCTGCAGGTTCTTCTCCAGCTTCAGCACCTCGGCGCTCAGCTTCAGGATCTTGTCCTTCTCCGCCTGCAAACAGCATAGGGGGCGCTCACGGGGGCCGGCACTCGCCCGCCGTGGGGAGCCCAGCACATCTCCCTAGCTAGGCTGGGATGGGAGGACTACAAATACCTAGTGCAGCGCTAGGGGGCACTGCGCTGCAGGGAGCAGGGTGAGAGGCTCAATAGGGGGCGCCCTCACCTTGCAGCCAGTGCTGGCCCCAGTGTGGTGCTAGGAGGCGCTGTGCTGCAGGGAACGGGGCAGGGGGCTCAGAAGGGGGCGCTCTCCTCTCTGATTCTGAGCTGCAGGGGGATTAGTACAGGGTATTCTCCCCTCATGCTGTGCCTCAGGGAGCTAGTAGGGGGCACTCTCCCCATAGCCAGTGCCCACTCCAGTGCAGCTCTAGGGGGCACTGTGCTGAGACATAAGCCAAGTTCTGAGCATTGTATGGGTCACGACAGGGGGACTTTTCCCAAGGCCTGGACATGCTCGTCCCTGCTCCCTGTCCACTGGTCACTGAGACAAGCCCAGCTAGGGTATGCATCTTCATTTCCTATCCTAAACTGTTGAGCATTGGCAGTACCCCACCCCAGAGGTGGCTGCACCCCGGCAGTGGATGCAGCCATTCAAGTGAGAGGCCCAGCGGGGTGTGGGTTGGCACCTCTATGCTCTGCAGCAGGTTGCTCTTCTCCTTCCACCACTGGCCTTTCCCCTCCTTCCATTTCAGGGTCATGTCTGCCAGCTTGATGTTGGTTTCGGCTGACTCCAGCCGGCTCTTGTGGAGGTCTGAGATGGTCCGGTCCCGGATGGAGGAGGCGCTGGCCAACTCCTCCCCCAGCAGCACCACTTTCTGCTGGCTGGCAGCAAGGAGGTCCTGGGTGGAGCGAAGCTGCTCACACAGCGCTTCCAGCTGGGCCTGGGGGGGTCGGAAATAATGAATGGGATGGAAGAGGCCAGCTGGGCTCTGCCCCTGCATCCCACCCCCAAACACAGCAACAAGGGAGCAGTTGATGGCATTTAAAAGACTGTTAAAATTCTTTCCTATTAGCATGTGGAACTCCCTGCTGCAGGATGTTATCAAGGCAAACTGCTCAGTGAGCTCTGTGAGGTGCAGGGTAGCTCTGAGGTTTATGTGCCAAAGCCAAGCTGGAAATAGCTGGCCTTTCCTCTAAGCCAGGGTTCAAATCCCATTAGGACTGATGCAGGCCTTCTGAGGAGCCAGGAGATTTCCCTCCTGGCAGAGATCTTCGAAATCCTGCTCCAGGAGAGTGCCAAAGATCCTGCGGCGCTTTTCAAATGAGCGGGGTTTGGGCTGCTGCCTTCTTGGTAAAATACTATCCTGTTACTCTCTGTGCCCCAGAAGTGGCTGCATTTCAGGAGTCAGTGGGAAAAGAACCTAGGAGTCCTGGCTCCCTGTCCTCACCCCTAGAACACACACAGGCACCCACAGCAGGGAAAGAGAACCCAGGAGTCCTGGCTCCCATCCCCCTGCTCTAGCAGCGACACCGCCCTAATCCCCTCTTTTGCAGGGAAAGGGCTGGTGAACGCACACACCCAAGCAGGGGGAGCGGAGGCTGCGCCATGGCACCGAGGGGGGCCCCCCACCCCAGGCACTCACCGTCCTCTGCTGTGCGGCTGCCAGCTTCTGCTGCAGCTTGCTGATGTCCTCCTGCAGCACCAGGGCCTGCGACACCTTCTCGCTGTGCCGGGTCTTGGCCAGCAGCAGGTCGCAAGCCAGGTTCCGGCTCTCCTGCTCCGAGGCCTGCAGCTTGACCTGGGGGGTGGGGGTGGGGGGACATGATCCTCACGTGCCGGCCCAGAGACTCCCAGGGGGTGGGGATGGGACCCACCTCCCTTCCCTCTGGGTGCCCCCTGGGGATGGGGGAACCCTGCCGCTCTCCGTATGTATGGGGAGGGACCCCCCACTCCTGTGTGTGTCTGAGGGGGAGGGGAGGGACCCCCGCTCCTCTGCTCACCCCAGCTAGCTCCACCACCAGCAAGTCGCCCCTACAAGCCCCGCCCCGGGGCTCACCTGGTAATGCTCCTTTTCGGTGTTCTCCTCCTTGAGCTGGTGGTGGATCTGCTCCTGCTCCCGCACCAGGGACTTCACCGTGTCCTTCATCCTGGGGGTGGGGGAGGGACACAGGCAGGGTGAACCCTGGCTCGGCTCAGGGCACTGCCAGCTACAGCGGTGGGGGGGTGGGTGAGGCGCAGCGAGGGGGCCGGGCAGATCCATTGCTGCCCGCCGGCCCTTCCGTGATGCTGCCGGGCCAGAACCCCAGAGTGAGTCTGTGTCCTGCAGCCTCGCTAACGGGACCCCTTTAGTCAGCATGGCCTGGGCCTGGCCCTGTCCTATCACACAGGACACTGCAACCCCACTCCGACCCCAGAGGCTGCACCCCCACGGCACATTAGAGTCCATGCTGCTGAGGGGCGGGGGGGGGAAAAGGAGACAGCATCCAGTACTGAGCCCCCACGCTGCTCCCCAGAGCACAGCACAGCGCCCCCTAGGGCACTAGCCTATTCTCACTCAGGGTGAGAGCCCCCCGAACAGCTGGCCTCTCCCCCTTCCCGCAGGACCCTGGTTCGGCCTCGGCAGTCACCCATCCGAGCGCTGACAAGGTCCAACCCTGCTTAGAGACTGGACAAGATCACAGGCCTGGACCCATCCCGACGAGCCACAAGGGATGAGGCCACCTTCCTTCCCGCTGGGCCAAGCCACAGCCCTGTTACTCACCTGCCCCCGCCTCCCCCACACCCGCCAGTCCAGCCGGGTCACAGCACTGACCCTAACTCCCAGGGCTGGCACACGGAAGTTTCGCGCCCTAGGCGAAACTTAGACCTTGCGCCCTCCTCCCCCGCCCTGAGGCACCCCCGTGGCAGCTCCCCACCCCAGCTCACCTCTGCTCTGCCTCCTCCCCGAGCACGCTGCCTCCGCTCTAATTCTCCTCCCCTCCCAGGCTTGTGGCGCCAAATCTTGGCGCCCTAGGCAACCGCCTAGCTAACTCCCCTCCCCCTCCCCAAGCCTGCTGACCCCCGCCCACTGCTGCTCACCTGTCCAACTCCACCTCCTTCTGCAGCACCTTCTCGCTCAGGGCCTGAACGTCCTCCTCCAGCTCCTGGATGCGGGCCAGCTGTCCCGCCTGCTGCCGGCTCAGCGCGTCCCGCTCCTCCATCACAGCTGCATGGGAGCTCGAGAGATCCTGGGAGAGGCGTCGCCGTCCGGGGCGGGGAGGGGTGAGCTGGGATTGGGGACACGGGAAGCCCCGACCCCGTCTCCCACCTGGGATCAGCACAGAGTCTGGGTGCTCCGGCAAGGGGCAGGGAAACCCAGGGGGCCCCCCAATCAGAGAGCCCCTTTGGAATCTGGGGCTAAGCCAGTGGGTAGCAGGGAATGCAAGGAGGAATATGGGGTCCCCTCCTAGGTGGGCATCTCCAGAGAGGCAGCCCAGCCCAGTGGCCTGAGCAAGGAGCCGGGAGGCCTCATTCACCCGTCCGCGTGCCTCAGTTTGCCCCCAGTGTGATGGGCAACGGCCTAGTCCATGGGGACGACACTGGATCCTTATCAACCCGGGAAGCGGGGTGGTGGGGGATTCAACCCAGTGGCTGTTGCCCGATAGGGCCCGGTGCCCGCAGGGGGCACCCCACACACCTTGTACTGCTCCGCCAGCTTGGTGTGCTCATCCCGCATGGTGCCCAGAGCCTCCTCCAGCTGCTCGATCCGGGCCTGCAGCTCCTTCACCTCCTCCTCCAGCCGCAGCTTCTCTCGCAGCAGCCTGCTGTGCTCCTGCTGGCTCTCCTCCAGCTGGTTCTGGGGGGGAATGGGACCCACAGGGACCGGCACTTTTAGTACAGACTGAGGGGGCAGGCACTACACTCACCCCGGGCCCCCAGGACATTGCAGGGTGCACAGGCAGGCAAGGGGTGGGCGAAGCAAGAGACTAGTGGTGGGGGCTCTTATCACAGCAGGGAGGTCGTTCTGAAGGGGCAGAGCTCCTGGAGGGTGGGGCCAGGGCTAAGCTCCGCCCCATTTCCCAATGCAGTTGTTACTGCCTGCCCTGCAGGGAGAAAAGCCTGGCAGGAGGGAAGGGGCTTGAGTTGACTGGGACATGGCCAGGTGCCCTCTTGGGCAGAAGAACAGCTGATCCCTCCTGTTGCCCTCCACCTTGTGCATTGGGTGAGCTCACAGCCCAACCAGGCCCAGGGGAAACTGAGCCACAAATCTGTGAAGTGACTTGCCCAAGGCCACTGGCAGAGCTGGGACCAGAAGCCAGGTCTCCGGGCACCCATCTGGTGCTCTGCCCACTAGGCAATGCTGACCCCTCATTACCTGCAGCAGGGTGGCTTTGGGCACCACCAGCAACATGTCCATGTTGCCCTCGTCATCCTCCTCCAGCGTGACGAGCTCGTCCATGGGCCGGGGCTCGCGGAACTGGAAGGGGCTGCTCTGGCCGCGCACCTCGCCACGGCGATCCACATAGCGGAACTGGTACTGCTGGGCCCCTGGCTTGGGCAGGTAGCTGGCTGCAGCAGGACAGACACAGCCCAGCATCAGATGCCGCTAGGGCCTTGCCAGGAGGCTGACTGCTTCCAGGTGGGGGCTCGGATGCCCCGTAGTCTGGGGCTCGGTCTGGTCCCTGCCTCTCCCCTGACACGTCTTGCCCCCAGCAACCGCCCCGCACTCCTGAGTCCTGGCACCAGCGTGGTTGGTACCATGGCAGAGAGGCTGGCAAGTGCCTTGTCAGCAGACCACGTTGGTCACAGAGGTGCTGCCCCCCCAGCCAGTGTGCCGCCCCCTGGCCTTGAGCCTAGTCTGTGTGGCCTGCTCTGGCCTGGCCTCTCTAACAACCAGCGGGTAGCACCAAAGGCCGACGGTGGCCTGGATGCCCGTTCCATCAGGGGCTGCTCGGAAACCTGACATCCCATTCCAGTCCCAGCCTCGCTCCTTCCCCCTGGCTGCCTCCTGCACCCCTTCCTAGGATCCTCTCTGCTTTACCCCCTCCCTCCCAAGCTGCTAACCCTGGGGTCCCATGGGAAGCCCCCGTTCCAGTCCTCAGCTCCACATGAGATGTCAGGGCCAAGCTGTGTGAGCAGTCCCTCCCCACCCACTGCTGCCTCCTCAATGCCCCCTGTTGTAACTGCACCAGGGGGCTTCAGGGAGATTTGGTTTGCAGCTGCTGTGGCATGAGGTCATGGCCACGCCTGGAGGCGGGACGCCACGCGAGATGGGCCCACGGGCCTGATCTGGTGGGGATACTGACCTGGATTGGCCCATGGGTCTGGTCCAGCAATGTAAGGCGATATTGGGCTAGATGGGCCCGCTGGCATGACCACATCTATCAGGGAGGCCGGGATACCAGGCTAGATGGGCCCTTGGTCCAACAAGCCACGGCAAAGCCTCCGTAACCCAAACCCTCCCCCAGGGCTGCCACCCCTTCAGACCGTTGCTCCGGCTGCTCAGTGACGGACACCCCCCGTCTGATCTCACCCTCCCGCAACCCCCACGCACGTAATCTACGCACCGCACCCCCTCCCACCCCCCGGAGCTCCCCCACCTACCATGGAACTGGACGCTGGAATGGACGGGCGCCCCCTCCGCGCCTCCGTCGGGCACCACACACCACACGAAGGTGTAGTAATCCCGCACGGATGAGGCCTCCACCTGGACAGACAGACGCAGGCAAGAAGGTGTCTGAGGAACCCCTGGCATTAGCTGAGCGTTTCTCTAGCGCTCATCAAGTGAGTGTCACTGTCCTCATCGGGGGGGGGTTGGGAGGGGCTATCACAGCAACGGGCATCTACACTGCCCACTAAGCCCAGGCTCTGACCCAGGTTTGAGCCCAAGCCCTGCTTCCGTCCACACACAGATCTGTCTGACTCGTGGCACTCAGGACCTGGGTCCTACGACCCTGCTGGGGGTGGGGGTGGGTCAGAGCCAAGGCGTGTCATTTTGCAGTGGGGATGCACCAGAAAGCGGCAGACCCAAGTCAAAGGTCTCCAGCGAGACCCGGGGCTGGCGATTGTAAGCCCAGGTTTACCATGCAGCATGGATGCTCAAGTGCGGGCTTGGAATTGCTGAAGCCTCAAGCCTGGGTCTGCAATGCAACTCACCCTAAGATGATAATACTGCCTAGCTGTTACACAGCACAGGAGGGTAGTATCATTCCCCTGCCCGCCCCTGTTTTACAGATGGGGAAACTGAGGTACACGGAGGGGAAGTGACTTGCCCAAGGCTGGCCACCAGGAATAGAACCCTGGTCTCATGAGTCCCAGGCCAGCGCTCTAGCCATTAGGCCACGCTGCCTCGTTTTGCTTTTGCACGCAGGGAAAAGCAGGAGGCTTGGTTGACTTGCGGGTGAATTTCAAGGTGGCCTGCAGAAGTGGGCCCCTCCTCTCACGTGCACTCTGCGGGCTCAGCGCAATGGGACAGCAGAGAACGCAATAGGAGGGGAAGCCTCTACCCCAGGTGATGAGGAGGCCAGTCGGACACCCTGCACCTCCCCAACTCAGCCTAATTCACTGTCTGATCAGAAAACTTGACATGCCGCCTCCCCGAGGCCACAACTACTGTGGAGATCCCAGCTAATGCATCCAGCTCCCATCCACCTCTCTCTTCCCAGTACCTTGAATATCCCGATCCAGTCGCGGGCTGACGGCTTCATGCTGGGGGGCAGGGTGTAGTGACACTCGACCTTGGTGTTGGGCACGTAGGTGCGGGCCACGTTGAGGAAGGCCATGGTAGGGTGAGGCTGTGCCTGTGACTTGCTAGGAGATACCTCCTCCATCCTCTTCATCGGGGTGGAAGGTGAAGAAGGAAGAAGGACAGTATGACAGTCTTTAACCCAATGTTCACCCTTTCTACAAGACTATGATAAATTTTGTACAAAATATGCCTTGTGAGGTATCATTCAAAAACTCGTAATTTGCTGACCATTACTGTCCTGGTAAAAAATGTGTGACAACATTGTATGTAAAGTTATACAATTCTACTGTATGACATTGCAGAGACATGTTCCAAGTTTAGAAAGACAGCCACAAACCAATTCCAGAGAGACAACAGGCAAACTGATGCCTCAGCTTGGTGTCAACAAAATCAAATGGACCATCACCTGGGTAAGTGGCCATTCTTTGGCAGGAAAAAGAGTGTGAGTGAGAAATCTACATTTTGGCAAAGAAAGAGCTGGAGGTTCCCATCTCCTGCTGTCTCCTGAGCCTCAGCTGGAGATGATTCTCAAAGAAAAAGAGAACTGTAAGAAAGGGGAAGAAACTCCCCAAAAGATCTCTCCTTTCACCTCGATTCACGGCTTTGACAACACTTGAAGGACAAAGGAAGGGATCCTGGCAGAAAGGAATTCAGCCAGTGAGGCTGCTAGAACATGTAGGAACAGAGACTTTTGCTTTGAAATCCCTTAGCTTGTTAAGTTAGACCAGGGGTCGGCAACCTTTCAGAAGTGATGTGCCGAGTCTTCGTTTATTCACTCTAATTTAAGGTTTTGCGTGCCAGTCATACATTTTAACATTTTTAGAAGGTCTCTATATATAAGTCTATAATTTATAACTAAACTATTGTTCTATGTAAAGTAAATAAGGTTTTTAAAATGTTTAAGAAGCTTCATTTAAAATTAGGGTGACCAGATGTCCCGATTTTATAGGGACAGTCCCGATTTTGGGGTCTTTTTATTACATAGGCTCCTATTACCCCCCACCCCCTCTCCTGATTATTCACATTTGCTGTCTGGTCACCCTATTTAAAATTAAATTAAAATGCAGAGCCCCCTGGACCGGTGGCCAGGACCCGGGCAGTGTGAGTGCCACTGAAAATCAGCTTGCGTGCCGCCTTCGGCACACGTGCCATAGGTTGCCTACCCCTGAGTTAGACATTAGTTGTGTTTTATCTTTAATTTCTTTGTAACCAATTCTGACTTTTATGCCTCATTACTTGTAATCACTTAAAATCTATCCTTCTGTAGTTAATAAACTTGTTTTATTGTTTTATCTAGACCAGGGTGCTTGGATTGAAGTATTTGGGAAACTCCATTTGAGATATCAGGGTTTGTGCATATCATTTTCTATTAATAAAATGATGGACTTTATATGAGTTTGTGGTATCCAGGAGAGAGCCGGGCACTACAAGATGCACATTTCTGGGGGAAAGTCTTGGACTGGGAGTTTGTTGGTGTTGCTCTGCAGTGTAATTCACGGGTGGTTGGCTGTACTCTTGCAATGTAGCTGTGAGTGAGTTACAGGCGTGTGAGCAGACCAGGAGTGGTTGCGCTCACAGTGAAGCCGTGTAAAAGGCACTCCAGATTGGAGAATTGAGGGGACACAGCTGCTCAACCGTCCAGATTGTACCCTGGGGAATGTCACAGGTGGGAGGGAGAAAAGAGATGGGGAAGGGGTAGGATGGGCAAATTCCACCCTGGACCAGTCTGGGATGCCCTGAAAGTCACTGTTTCCCTACATGCCACGGGTACATCCACGGAACTCATCACTGTGGGCACCTCATGGGCATGGATGCATTTAGCTGCCCAGCCCGCAGGAGGCGGGCAGTGCCACTGTCTCTATTTTACAGCGGTTCTTGGGCACACAGCAAGTCCATTTCAGAGCCGGGAATTGAACCCAGGAGTCCTGGCACTCAGATACCTTTGGAGCTGGACCCCTAAGACCCCACATATTTCAGACAGAAAGGGACCTTTGTCTAGTCTTTTTAACTCTGGTTAGTGTGCCACTAAACTGGGTCTCAGGGCACTTGGGTTCTGTTCCCATCTCTGCCACTGACCTGCTGTGTGACCATGGGCAACTCCCTCCCTCTGTGCCTCAGTTTCTCCTTCAACCCTGCAAAATCTTTGGCGCAAGGATGGTGGCTTGCACCTAGACTAGTAACCTTGGCTGGGGTCTCTAGGAATTAACACAAATCCATTGACAAAAACAGTTCAGATTGCCCCATGCTCATCCAGGAAAATGCAGACCTCTGACAGCCAGGAAACCCAGAGTCAAGGTACACACCAATTGTAACCTTAACTCTGCCCTTCTAAGCGATGGCACAGGGTGCCCACAAGACACGTACTTGCACTCTGCCTTTGCAGCTTGTGCCCATCGCCCAGGGAAGAAGCATGCGCCAGCTGCAGCACAGGGTCCAATGCCATCTCTTTGCCAAGGCGAAACTTGTGTCCAGGTGAACTGGACTGAAAGGGTGCTGCCTATGCCCACCCTATGCCTGGATACGGAGCCTCCACCGCAAAACCAACCCCACACTCGCTGTATTTTACAACCTTTCACCATTGCACACAGGACCCCCTCAAACACAACACTATCACTCACCCATCAGGACATGCCCACCCCACCCTCATACCCCACCTCGCTGCTGACGCCCCCCATGGCAAGAAGACCCCTGTGCCCTGCTGCTGACACATGCTTCCCAGCTCAGCACTGGAATGAGACAAACGGCATCGCTCAGGATGCACGTGCACCGTTTTCCCGTCCTCACACATGTGGGGTGAGGCGTGGGCAGAGGGGCTCAGAATCTCTGAGGGAAAGGGCACCTCCATATCGCCCCCCATCACAATCACAGCTCTGACCAGCTTCTCCGGCTAATCCCTCCACCATTCCATATAGCTCCACCTAACAACAGCAAGCACAGCTGGAGCGCACACAGATAATTCCTACTGGCTACCGCCAGCTCCGGAGGGTCAGAGTTAAGGCCGCGTTGGGGCGTCCCTTCACACTGTCTTTTCTGGTTGTCCGAGGTTTGAGTTCTGCTGGACGGGCATGAGACCCAACAGGCAACCTCAGCTCTGGGTTAACCAACTTTTTGGCCGTGAATTTCCTTGTTTCCCAACCAGAAAGAGAAACATTTTTGGTAGGAGTCAGGGGTCAGGCAGGTCGTTATAGCTGTCCCTTACGTTTGCAGCTGGCTAGCAAGGAGGCTATGTGATCCTAAGAGCTCCTGTCCCCTTTGGCACAGAACCATGCGTCGTGTTGTGAAATGTCTGGAGGGGGGAGCTGCTAACAGGGCAGTGAGAGAAATCTCATCCCTGGCCCCAAAACTGACCAGGGTGGTTTATTCCGTGGTGGTTTAGTTACAGTAGCTTTATGCAGTGCAGTCATTCTCCTCCTCACATGAGGTAGCGCCCCCACCCCCATTTCCAGCTTCCCCTCCCTGTCCCGCCCCACGAAGCCATTCAGGACCATTCCTTGGCATATGAGAAGCCACGAGCATGTAAGAAATTTGTTCTACGTGTATCACAAGCAGCTGCTTATGGGAGGGCCACACATTTCTCAGTTACAGAGGCTGCGCTGGACAGCAAACTGGGCCCCCGGCAGGCGCCCCCCTCCAGCTACTCCCCCTGCTCTGGCGAGGCCCCTAGCTCGCCCAGCCTCCAAGCTGGCCCCCTGGCCAGCCCCACACAGAGGTGCTGTCACCTTAACTTTGAATTGTCTGATTTTCAGAGATTTCAATGTGTGGTGTAGTCAGGGCGCCTCCAGAACCTGGCTCACATTTGTGGGGGAGCAGGGAGAGGGGCTCAGACCCCTTAGAATAGCAGGGCCCCCAAGATCCTGGCACACACATATGGAGGGAGGGCAGGGAAAGGGGCTCGGTCCCCTCACCCCAGACGGACAGGACTACTGGATCCCGGCACACACATAGGGGGCAGGGGAGGGGCTCAGATCCCTTAGAACAGCAGGACCCCCAAGAACCCAGCATACACAAGGACTCGGACCCGCTCAGAGGAGCAGGCTGACACCCCCCTCCCAAGATCCTGGTACCCACATAGAGGGGAGAAGATGGAGCTCACATGCTCTCACATCCCTAGTCACCCCATTTACCCTACCACTTCCCCACGTCTCCCCTCCCCATGTCCCACCCCTCCCCCTCTCCAGAGCCCCCAACTCCTCTCCACTCCCTGCCACCCATCCCACCCATCCCATGATTCCCCTTCCCCAGCACTCTCCCAACTCCTGGCCTGGAGCAGCAAGCATTCATGTGTCATTCCTTTTCCTTTCAAAAAGAGTTTGCGCCCCTTCTCAGTTCTCTGCTGTCCTCGGATTACAGTTCCCAGCAGTAACAGAAACCCTTCGACAGAGGCAGACAGTCGCACCTGGCCTGTAATTCGTCCTCAGATATCTGCCAAGGGTAGCTTTCAAAGCTGCAATACCTGGAGGGTAGCTCAGGGTCACAACCTGTCCCCTCGACCCACCAAGTCCCGTGCAATCACTATGGCTAGAAACCGTCTTTCTGCACGTCACATTTCAAGAGAATCCAAGAGAGCATTTGACTTAGAACAGTCAACCTTTAACCAAAGGGGTTCTCAACTTTAATCGCAGGAGCTAGCTCTTCTAGTGTGCCTTTCACCCATGGATCTCAAAGCTCTTTACAAAGGAGGTCAGCATCAGTCTCTTCATTTGACAGATGGGGAAACTGAGGCACCGAGCAGGGAAGGGACTTGCCCAAGGTCACCTAGTTGGCCAGGTCTCCGAGTCCCAGTCCGGTGCTCTAGCCACTAGGCCCCAGAAAATGAGGCCCTACGGAACCAGGTGATGTTTGCCACTGCGCAGGGGGAGCAGATGCGTCTACTGCCCTTGGCACGGATGCATTGGCTTTAAGAAATGCTGCTGCGAGGTGAGAGGACAAACACGACTCCTCACCTCTCCCACCAGCTGGCCTACCAGCAGTATCTGGGTCTCATCCTGACTCTCCAGCATCAGATCCCAAAGTGCTTTACAAGCAGCGTATACCAGGATCGCTCTGATTGCTGCCCTGGGGCGGGGCCCACAACGGCCACACCACACGGCAACAGAGGACAGGAAGTGGAGTCTCCAGGGTTACCCACTCTCACGGTTTTGTCATGAGTCTCATGATAATAATTGCTTTCCTGAAAACCCCAGCTCCTGGAGCGAAGGGATACGTGATGATTTCAGCCTTCCTTAAAGAAAAAGAACGTTTTCAGCCCTCGTGGCAGTGGAGAAAGCTTCAAAATATGACCCCAATGCACCCTAAAGGCTCAAAAAGCAGAAGGCAAATAAAAAGGACCCCAACGTTATTATTTGTACATAATCTCATGATTTTTGGGGAGCCTGACTCATGATGTTTGAACATTTGGGGTTGGCGATACTGAGTCTCGTACCCAGCTGGGGAATGCACGGATGCATGTTGAAAGCCCTGGCTTTTGTGAAAGTGGCCGCAGGCATAAGCGCCGACTCCGTGGGTGCTCCGGGACAAAAATTAGTGGGTGCTCTGCACCCACTGGCAGCCAAGCTCCCCTCACCCGCTGCCCTGCCCCTCCTCCTGCTCCCCCTCGGGTGTGCCGCATCCCCGCTCCTCCACCTACCTCCCAACGCTTCCCGCCCGGCTGCCACCAAACAGCTATGTGGCAGTATTAGCATGCTCCGGGGGAGTGGGGGTGGGGGGGTGGGAAGGAGGAGTGGCACACTCAGGGGAGGAGGCGGGGAAGAGGCCGGGATTTGGGGAAGGCGTGGGAATAGGGACAGGGAGGGGGCGGAGTTGGGGCGGGGACTTTGGGGAAGGGGCGGGGTCGGGGGAAGAGGGGGCATCGAGCACCCAGGGGAAAGAGGGGACGTCGGCGCCTATGGCCGCAGGATGCTTAGCGACAGCAAAAGAGCCAGGCCCTTGATTTTTACATCGCAGCTGGAAGCTGGCGGCTCCAGCACCTGGCTGGGGCATCGGTTCAGGACAGCTTAGAGTACTTTGGGGTCTTTGTATTCTGTTTGTACAGCACCTAGCGCAACAGGCTCATGGTCCATGACTGGGCCTCCAAGGCGCTACCACAACACAGAAATAAGAACAACACCCCTTGCTTTATCACTAGAATCATTTCCCTCAGAAGCCTGGGTTTTCCTGGAGGGACTCCCCTCCAAGCATGGGGAGAGAGACATGCTGGTCCTGTCTACACAGCAGCTGCAATTAACTCAGCAGCTAGAACAGCAAATTGTCTAGTAAGCTCCATGGCCAGGGTGAGGTCACGTCTACACTACAGGTTAACAACGTGGTAACAACCAAGAGACTCATACACAGCACTGATAGGGCTGTAGACATCTTCAAAGGGGTTCACTGCAAAGGGGGAGGTGACCAGGCACCCCAATTTCTTCTCTGGACAAGCCAAAATCCTCGCTCGATGATCCCATGTGACAGAGGCGCCCTGTAACTTGGTGCCTTCCCTGCCATCATTAGACTCTCCCGCGCACTGGCGCCCTGTAACTTGGTGCCTTCCCTGCCATCATTAGACTCTCCCGCGCACTGGCGCCCTGTAACTTGGTGCCTTCCCTGCCATCATTAGACTCTCCCGCACACTGGCGCCCGTGTGCAGTGATCATACGTGGTGAGTGTCCCAGTACAACTGAATGAGATTCCCCAAAGTGCGCCTGCACCAATTATAATCCCCGGTGCAGCCATGCCTGGGTGGAAGATCTGCTGGGAGGCAGCGTGGCCTAGTGGATACAGGACAGGATTAGCACTCCAGGGATCTGGGCTCTAGTGCCAGTTCACACCCTGCTTTGCTGGGTGACCCTGTGTTAGTCACTTCCTCTCGCTGCCTCAGTTTCCGCATCTGTAAAATGGGGATAATGCGGCTGACCTCCTTTGTAAAGCGCTGTAAGACCCACCGATGATAAGAGCTAGGTATTAACATTAGCTCCTCTACAGAGTCCTGCTTGACATAAAATGAACCTCTGAGCATCTTGAGGTTGGCAGAGTGGCGCTGTGGCTAGAGCATGGAATTAAGGCAGGACACCTGGCTTCAACTCCTAGCTCTGCTGTGTGACCTGGGGAAAGTCACTTCCCCACCCTGTGCCTCTGTTCCCACTCCCACCCTTTGCCTAGGGAGACTCTGAGTTCTTTGGGGCAGTTACTGCCTCTTTGTGACTACAACAGGGCCCTGATTTGGCTTGGGACCTCTCGGCCTTGCTCTCCTGGGAATCCTGCACAATCACTGCTAAAAAGCGCTCGTGGCCTGGGCAAGACACCTCATGATCGGCCCCACAAGCCCAGACAGCGCACGGCTGGCGTGGGACCTCCTGGCCATCATCCAGCCAAGTGCTTGAAGCTACATTCCTTTCCCCTCCCTGGAGTCTGCTGCTCCAGTTGTGCCGAGCCAGCCAAGGAGCAGCCATGTGCAAAACAAATCCCAGCAGCTGCCATCCATCCTCTCCGCTCACCTGGCTGCCAGGGACAGGGGGATGATCCCTTGAAGCTTGCACAAGGCAAGCAGGGCGCACCAGCCTTATGCAAGGCCGGTTCCAGGGAGAAACAAGGAAAAACCACCTCCCAGCTTGGCAAGAGAAAAGACCTAGTCCCCAGCGGGGGAAACTCTTCCCACTTCTCCCCCCTCACCCCTGCCCTTCTTGCCCAGAATAAAAGGCTTTAAAAAAAAATCAAACAGCTCCAAACCAAAGTGACAAAGGAAACTCGTGTTCGGAAACCCAAAGCCACAGGCGTGCTGGGGAAGGAAGCTGCACGGCGGGGAACTTGTGCGGGGGGGTGAGGGGGTGGTGAAGATCGCCCTCATGCACCAGCCCCAGGTGCAAATACAGGCATGGGAGAGATTCTTCGCTCTTTAATGCCACGGGGGTGGCTAATCTCTGGGTTGCCCGGGGCCAGGGGCATCCAGGAGGGGTCAGCTCCAACCAGGCAAACAGTATGGCCGGGCAGGTCGCAGGCCTGTCCCAGCAGCCAGGGGAGATGGGGGTAAAGCAGTGGAAGGGGGCTTAAGGCGGGGGGGGGGGGAGTTCC